GAGGTTTGTGGTGAGTGTTTCTGGTCCACACGAGCGTGTGGTTTTTTGGACCTTTCTGCCGTGGTGCTCCCTGTTAAACCTGGGAAGCAGCTGTCGCTTGCAGCTGCTGGGGCTGCACATTAGCCCTTCATAAGGAGGAATTTAAAATCGCTGAAATTCCTGTTTGTGCCTCCATATTGCTGCCTGAGCCAAGGCAGCCTCGCAGGCTCCTCTCTAACACCACCTTGGGGCCCCCTTCCATAGTAATCACTCTTCTGGCAAAGGCAGTCTCCATCTGGAGTTTGTTAGCACTGCTGCAGCGCTCATGTTACTGCAGAAAATGATGTTGTGGTGTTCTTCTGTTTCACTGTAACACTGGAAGGACTTCTCTGTTTTCTTCTTTCTTGCCTAGCTAGTAATGTTTGTGACAAGAATAACTGCCAGGGTATCTATGCACACGGAAGACTTTTAAGACTCTTTCAGCAGGGAAAGAATTGAAATGTTTCCCTTCTCCCCTGCTTTCCAGGTTGCAAGATGAACAACGTCAATGTGGTGTACACACCATGGACTAATCTGAAGAAGACAGCAGACATGGATGTGGGGCAGATTGGCTTCCACAGGCAGAAAGATGTAAGTGTTTGCTGTGAGACAGTGACAAGGACCTGGTGGCAGACTGTTAGCTGCTGGGTGGATTGTCTCCAACGTTTGCCCTAAAGGCAGGGGATCATCCATTTTTAAAGCATAAGAGAGATCCTGGGAATGTGTTTGGATTTGCTTGAACATACCTGAAGATCCAGGGTTGAGTGTTAGCCTGTAGCAGAGTGTAGCCTGTACAGTGTGTGTTTCCAAGTTGCAGTGTAGCTGAGGAGTCTTTGCTGATGCCAAATGATATCACATGTTTGAGTTTACCCCCACTGAAATCATCTCTTTCTGCAGATGAGGAACCTGTGTATGAGCAGTCACTTTGGATCAGCTCACTGGCACTAGTGTAATGACACATCTGGAAGGGGCCAGGACTTGTGCTCACTGTGCAGAGGAGGGCTCTGGAGGGTTCCCTCTGTAGGGAGGTGTCTGTCACTGTGTTTGTTCACTCTACAGTCTCTGCTCCAAGAGGTGTCTCACCCTGCTGGTGCCTCTGAGTTTGTTCACCCTGTAAAAAGGCAGAGCTTCTTGGTGCAGGGTCAAGCCAATGTACTGAGCTATTCCCAAACCTGACCTATGGTCCACAGATGATGTTATGCGTGTTCTGTAGTTATACATAATGCTAATGTAGTTCTGTAGGTTGGCTGCTGGGAGAGAAGGCTCTCTAGAGGTACAGTTGTTTGACTAAAACAAGTCTGTACTAGGGCAAGACATGCTAAAACCCCTGCAGTCAACAAGCAGCATGTGAGCATGTTTTCCCAAAACAGTCTGCAGAGACCTCCTGCCACCTCTTGAGGAGCTTGCAGAGACCGGTTCTTGTCTCTAGGCCTCTGTTGTGGCATGTGCCAAGAAATGAAATTAGTAATGCTTATGTACTTAGCAATGCTTCTGCTTATTAGTTATGTGCTTCTGAGTGTTGGGAGTGGGCCTCTTTGCTGTTACACAACCTGCTGAATAGCCCTCAGTGGCAGGGATTTTCCTCAGCATCTGTTTTTGTGGGATTCAGCCATGTGTAAAGTGGAAATAGGGTGTTTTCTTTCCGTTGTGGAAGTGCCAGAATAAAAGTATTTTTTTATAAGGATCACAGTTCTTTGCACTCCAAAGGTGAAAATGCTGACAGTGGAGAAGAAGGTCAATGAGATCTTGAACCGGCTAGAGAAGACAAAAGTGGAACGCTTTCCAGACCTGGCTGCTGAGAAGGAAGCCCGCGACAGAGAGGAGAGGAATGAGAAGAAAGCCCAGATCCAAGAGATGAAGCGAAAGGAAAAGGAAGAGATGAAGAAGAAGAAAGAGCTGGAAGAACTTAGGTAAGTAATAAATTTCAGTGCCAGCTTCTAAACTTCCTCCGTTTTCACTGCTGGTGGGAGAGAGTCACGGGTCAGCAGTTTCTGTTTAATACTGGCCCAGCATTACTCAGTGTTCAGCTGAGCTGCTCTGGCAGAGGTGTCTGCACAGCCCAGTGATTTCCTTTGTCTTTAGAATAAATGCGTTTTCATAGAATCCTAGAATGGTTTGGGTTGGAAGGGACCTTAAAGCTCATTCAGTTCCAAAGCCCTGCCGTGGGCAGGGACACCTTCCACTAGACCAGGTTGCTCCAAGCCCTGTCCAACCTGGCCTTGAACACTGCCAGTTTTTCTCCATTTCTCCTAAAATAAAACAGGATTTTAAACCATTGTTAAAAGAAAGGGCTGTGTCTCTTGAAACCTGTCCCTAACTTGGGTTAAATTCGCAAGCATTTGGTGCTCTGTCACTGGGATGGGAGCCATTGCTTACAGCTTTGTGTGAGCTTTGGAAAGCACTGAGCTTTTGCTACAGTTCTTCAGCTTCCTCTTGCGTCACTCATGTTAACTAAAACATGTTTGAGTCCTCAATCCCATGCTCCTTTAAACGTAGATATGAGGGATGGTGGTTTGAAATGTCATACTGACCTTTCTGTAATGGAATCATAGAATCACAGGATGCTTTGGGTTGGAATGGACCTTGAAGCTCATCCAGTTCCAACCCCCTGCCACCGGCAGGGACACCTTCCAATAGACCAGGTTGGTCCAAGCCCTGTCCAAGCTGGCCTTTAACACTGCCAGGGAGGGGGCATTCACAATTAGCCAAAGAGTATGAGATAAGTGAATACTTGTCTAGCCTGAGTTCAGAAAGGACAACAAATTTGTTTTTCTTCTACTTGGTCCTGTTTTAGCAAAATGCCTCTTTGTTGGTGGGGTTTGAAAACATGTGATGCAAGATAATGTAATTTCCCTTCCAGGAGCTACTCATCGTTAATGAAGGCTGAGAACATGTCCTCTAATCAGGTAAGAGCTGGCTGATGCCTGCAGAAACCTTTTGCGGACAGCTGAAATTCAATGCGTGATCGGGACGATACAGCTCCTGCATTGCAGTCTGGTGTTGGTGACTCCTGCATGACGGAGCGCATCTCCATCACCCCTTCTCAGTGAAGGGCATTGCTAATTTCCTCCACTTTCTGAGGGGCTCTTATTGCTTGTATGTCAGCCAGGAGGAACAAGTGCAGTTGGAAATGTGTGTAAAGTCCTCCCGATCCCCTTCCCACCCAACTGAAATAACATGGAGAGTTTTAAGTGCAGCACCAGGCTTGAGTCTCCTTTTTTGCTGGTTGGGCATAACTGAGCTCATGAGCCAAGATCTCCCTAACGGCAACCATGACCTGCATATGCCACCTTGTTACTTCAAGAGAATGGGGGAAAGTGCACATTTTTTAATAAGAAATAGACTGGACGTGTAAGGACAACAGTTTGGGGAGGGATAAAATAGGTGCAGAAGAGGAAAGCTGGAAGGGATGTCCTTGTAGAGGGCAAGCACCCAGGACTGGAGCAGGGTAACATGGCTGCCATGCAACAGTGGAAAAGGAGCCAAAGAGGAGAGAAACAGCAGGAGGGAAAAGAGGAGGTGGAGCATAGGAGGGACAGGGGCTGAAGTTCAGAAGAGGTCTGGGTGTGCTATGGGTGTGCCTGTGCTTTGCTCAAGGGCTGGCGCATCTGCAGAATCCTTTGTGGTGTGACCTTGGGCAAACAGGTCTTGGAGCTCCTCTGAGTTACCCTCAGTTTAAAATCCACCTTTTGCAACCTAGTCCTTGACTGACTGCTTAGAGGGGTGTGTGACTTTCAAGAACTCTAGATTGTCCTCCTGGTTGGCATGCAGATCCCCTTCGAAACTTGAACTGGGTTGAAGTATGTGCATCTCCTGACATGCCCAAGCAGGCTGTGCCCAGCTGGTCACACTTGCCAAGGAGAAGCATGGTGGAAATGCTGTACAGGGGGGTCTCCACCTTCCAGCAACCAACCCTGATGTGGTGCCAAACTGTTTTCCTGCTCCCAAGTTGGGAAGAAGCTCAGGCTGGGATACAGGGATGGTCCATGAGGCTGCTGGTGAGAGGTTCCTCCTAGATCACAGCAGATGAGATGATAACGCTGCAGGGACAGCAAACAGCAATTGCTGTTTCACAATCAGAGCCTCGCTCAGGGCTGTTCCCACTCCAGAGCGGCTGTTGTGGGACTGTTTGCTCTGATTTCATGGTGTTTGTACTGAAATGTCAGGAAACCAGAATAAATGGCAATTCTGAAATCCTGCCAAACATACCATTTCACCATTTTCCACTGTAACGTGCACAGTGATCCTGATTTGTCTTTCTTTCCACAGGATGGCAACGATTCAGATGACTTTATGTAAATAAAGTCTCTCTCCTTTCTCAATCTTGAGGTGGTTTGGGATGTCTTAATATGTCACCATCGCTAGGAATGCCAAAAAAAAACCCCAAAGTGAACTTTGACTCCATTTCTTCAGAACCTGGTTGGTTCTCCTGGCAGCCTAACAAGCCCTGTGCCACGGACACCTTCGGAAAGGAGATCGATATGTCTTCATGTACATCTGTCTTTCAGGGATATGGGCGGAAGGAAACAGCATTGACTTTCAGTTCTACAAAGACGATGGTATTTATTCTAGGGAAGGGGTTGTGTAGGTTTTAATCCAGTGAGATTTAAAGAAAAGGAAACAAATCCATATTGTCTCACCACTGTCCTGGCAACGGGGCAACTTGGAAATGGTTGCCATTAGCTCCGTGTCACTGGTTTCAAGAACTCCAGATTGTCCTCCTGGTTGGCATGCAAATCCCCTTTGAAACTTGAACTGGGTTGAAGTATGTGCATCTCCTGACATGCCCAAGCTCCTGACATGAATGTGGCACTGCTGACTAACTCTACTCTTCACACTGGTGGTGATCAGCAAAGCAGGATCCCTCTGCACTTGGGGATGTAAATTTGGATGGGGTGATGTCTGCTTTGCAAACCCTGCCAGCCCCTGGAGGGGAGCTCCTTGTTAAATGCAGAGCTCCAGATGATGCTCACTGAGCTCGGCTAGTGTCGCAGCGAGGTGCGTGACCACGGGCTGCGATGTGCACCTTTAGCACAGAATGAGAATAGCCCCACAATGTGTTTTCTTTTAAATTACACTTGATTCTGGGGCTGTTCTTTGGAAAACTTCTCTGGAGAATGAAATTAGTGAAGAAGAGTTGAGTTTTGTGCAGTGTCCATGCCTGTCCAGGCCAGAGCTCTTTGCCTGAGTGCTCTGGAAGGTTTCATGGCCCTGTCTGTATGAAACGGTTGCAATAATCCTCACAGCACCTGTATATATGTCATAATTAAATTCATACCATGCCTATAAAACGTGCTGCTAGGTGGGAGTCACCCAGTGTGCTCAGGCCTCTGAGAAGGAGCAGTGAGGCTCTGCAGAGTGTCTCTTTGGGCAGCAGAAAGCCATGCAGAGCATGGCTGTGCTGAGGGTGGACAGGACAAATCTAACAAAGTCTGGTTTTTGGGGTGTGTTTCTGGATGTTTCAAGCTCACCTGCAGGCTTGGGGGGGAAGAGAATGGTTCCTGGTAGAATGGTAGATTTTTGGAGGAGGAAATACGCGAAAGGGAAATGTCCCTTAACAAACTAAAACATTAACAATCTCATCAGAGAATTACTGAATTGCTGGAGGAGATAAAACCTACCCTACTGCTAGGGCAAGTCCCAGCAGTAGTGCACTTAAAGTTGTCTTCCCAGCATCAACCACCTCCCTCCTGCATCCCGAGGGTGTGAGTTAGGGACTGGGGAGAACGAGGGCGTCCAGGTCCTTATCAGTCCCCACTTGCTGGGCGGAAGAGGATGGTGAGCTCTGTGTGCATCCTCTCACTGCTTGTGTCCCAGCTTGGGCTGGCCTGAACCTGGGGTGGCTCCAGATAATGCCACCCCAAACTCCACAGTGTCCCGCCTCCTGAGGGACTTGCCATGCAAACTGGCCCAGGGGCTGGGGGGGGATGGAAGCCATTCTGGGGCTGATGGGGAAGCTGAGGCACAGGGCAGCAGCTGGTTTTCCTTTCCCTCCCAGCTGCCCCTGGCAGAGGCAGGAGAAGCTATGGGTCTTGTGGGGCAGAAGGGGCGTGGCGAGGAGTTGGGGGGGACTCTGTCTCACACTGCAAACTCCCCGCCATGGGGCCTTCCTCCTGCTTGCCATCAATGGGCCCTTTCACAGCGGGAGGGTGTTGGCTGGTGCCAAAGACCTGACTGCTGTGCCTGAGCTGTGCTGCCATCAGCAACGCCCGCCGCCACAGCCCTGCAGCTGCGAAGTGTTGTGCTTGGCTCCGGTGTCCGGCGGCGGGAGGCGATGGGTGATGTCCCCTGTGCATGGCTGCGGTGAGCTGCTTGTCCCTGGCCACCCTGTGCAGTGGTGTCCATGGGGCTGCATGTTCCCGAGCACCCTGTGCGTGGATGTCCATGGGGTGTGTGTCCACAGGCACTTCCTGTGTGGCTCCCCGTGGGGCTCTGTGTCCTTGGACACCCTGTGCACTGATGTCTGTGGGGCTGTGTCCCCAGGCACCCTATGCATTGATATCCATCTACTGTGTGTCCCCAGGCACTCTGTGCATCAGTGCCCATGGGCTGTGTGTTCCTGGTCTCCCTCTGCATCCATGCCCATGGGCTGTGTGTCCCTGAGCACCCTGTGCAGCCCTGGCCACCCTGCTCCCCTCCATGCTCACCCCCATGGGCTGGCAGCCACGAAGAATCACCCCTGGAAGGCGAGCAGCCCTAGCTGCCGTCAGCACTTCCCGCCCATCCCTTCCTGGCCGCAGCTCCTCGTCCTCATTTATTTATTAATCCTCCTGCTCCCAGCTCTGAAACCCTATCGCCCACCCTCACCGGTGCTTTGGGAGGAAAATCCTGCCCTTGCACATTTTTCGCCCATCCACAAACACTGGCACTGCCCAATGTTATGCTGAGGCTGCTTCCCGGCCAGGGCCGCGCCGGCTTTCCTTTCCACAGAGACAGGAGGTTGGGAAGGGGTAAGGATGTCAGGGTGGGGGTTACAGCATGGCCCAGTCCTGCAGGCTTGGGGTAACTGAGGCATGGAACAGAGGTTGGCATGGCTGAGGCTCCAACACCTTGCTTTGGCTTTCTCCTGTCCCCCAGAGCAGGATGATCGCAGCTGCTACTCAGTGGCCTATCAGCCTGTGGCCTGTCGGTGTAACGAGTTGTCAGGTCTCTGTGCCCCTACCTCCTCCCTCTGCTGCCCCTCCAGCTACAGCAGCTACAAGCCAGGGCTGGGGCTGTGTTGGCCCATGTTAATAACCAGCCCTGGGCTGTTCCTGTAATGAAAACAGGAAGCTGCTTTGCCAACAGCAATAAACCACCCGGCCGGTCAGATCCTGTGCCCTGGGCAGGGCTGGATGGGGATGAGGATGGGTCTCCCCACACCGGGGAACCCATGGGTGCAGGGGATAGAGATGGGGACACAGGGTTGTTATCCCCAGTGCAATGATGCTCTTGGCACTGTGGCCCCAGCTCAGGTACCTGGGGCCTTCAGCCACCCCCGTGGCCCCAGTGGCATCCCAACACAGCCAGGCCATGGGGACCTGGGTTTGGCTCATGGAGGAGTGATGCCACTCGCCATGCAGCCCAGGCTGGGAAACTAATGCACGGAGCAGAGCAGCAGCTCACTGTCCCAGTGGCAGTGGGGGTCCCAGCTGCTTCCCCCCACTCCCTGGCAGGATCAGGTCTGGGGAGAGCCGAGAGCCCTTTTTCCCTCTGCCAAGGGAGGGTCCCTGCAGGGAGGACATCCGTGTGCAATAGGGCTCTGCTGGGGGGCAAGGCAGGGAGCGGGGACCCCATCAGAGACCACATCGCACATGGCACATGTGCATGTTTCCACATGCCTGTGTGCATCTGTACGTGTGTGCTGTGCCCACATGTGCACGTGCATCCCCATTCATGCTGCTTCTCACTCATGCACATACATGAGCATGTATGCAGTCATGCATACGTGTGCACATGCTCACACATATGCACACTCCCTCATGCTGGCTCCCTCTTGCACACACAAGTACAACACACTTCCCCACCCACCTGCACCCCACCTCCAACGTCAGTTTGGCTGTGGTTGCTCCCCCTGTGCCCCCTTTTGCCCCTCCACCACAGGAGCTGCCTGTCCCCATACAGCTTTATTGTGCTGGGAGTACACTGGGGACACAGAGCAGGGTTTGGGGGGACAGAGGTGGCTGGTGGGGGGAAGGAAGGGCACAAACCAGCTGCACCCCATCGCACAGGGACCCCCCACCCAGAGTGGGGAACAGC